TCAGACGACGAAAAGCGTATTTCACTGGGCAAAGTTTTCTTTTTATCTAGCTTGTATCAATTTTGAACACTTAGTTGTAAAGAAATCATTTACAGAACCGGTTTAGAAATTAGAATCTTTAGTGTTTTCTTGTCATTAAGATTTTTACATATTTAAATGAGCATTTTATATAAATATAATTTTACAGATAATTAATGGTTTATTCTGTTTATTAAAACTAATGTAGAATGTTATTATGAAATAAGAATGTCCAATTTGACAAAAATATCATGGCCTTCTTTACAATTTATTAAATATTTCTCATTATTAAAATAAACAAATCATAAATAATACATTGCAATTACTGTCAAAAGAGAATGCAATAAACTTTAAAATATTAAAAATCTTTTGTAATTTTTTTTAGTGATATTACCATTAAACATTATTCAGAATAATAGATCATTGTCCAATTACAACTCTTACCAAAGTTGTTTATACCTCATATCAAAGTTGTTTACATTACCTTTTTAAAATTGTATTACATATTGCAATTATGTATTTTATGTAGTATTATTTCTGAAATGAGAGTAGTCTAAAATTATTTACATCCATCTGTTATAAAAATTGTTTAGATCTCTTAATATTATTTAACTACATGGAAACTCAACTTTCCAAATACATAATAACATGTCTTGAAGTAAAACTTTAATTATTTTCTTTTTCTAAAGATTAAAATGCTCAAATTTTATTTTAAAACACATTTGGGCTAGAACGGCTCTATTTAGTGAGCACTAGGAAAGGCACATTGCAACCCGCTTTTCATAATTTTTTTATAGATGGGTGAGCAATCTATAATATGTATCATTGGACATCTCATAAACGTCAGTGGATGAATGACATTTCGACATAAAGCTAAAAATATTTATTATTATTATCAATCTTTTTTATTAATTTACATTGTTTAAATGTTTTAAATTCAGTGTTACTAAATACCGATATTTTGACATTGGATACACTTGTTTAAGGTACAACTTTACAATTTATTGTCACTTAGCCATTTAAATCTTTTTGCTTAAAATGTATATACATGTCCAGATTTTAATAATGTTTCACATTTTATGTAATTTTGACCATGTACACGATTGTTTGGTACGGGCCGGTTTCTATTTTTAACTATATTTAATATTTTAAAAAATATCCTTTATTATTTACTTGCAATGTTTACCCCATTTAATTCTAAAAGGCTAACTTCGGCAGTAGTGCTGCCTCTATATTTCACGCACGGTCCCTATTGTTAACTTACAAGAACTCACTTTGTAAGAGTAAATAATAATTTAATAAAGTGTTTGTTTCTGTTTTTCTTTATTAATTTATCACATTTCAAACATTATAATAATTGTATACAAACAAAAATGTAAAATATGTGAAAATGTTATGTATTAACCTATTATTAAAAACTAAAAGTACCTGAATAAGATAAACGAAGTAAAAAACACTTTATTTTCAAATATATACAAGTCTTAACAATAACTTGCAATTAAACATTTAAAAATAGCCTCCTTCCAGAATGCAGTTGCAAAAATTAAAATGTCCTCTGAAGATTCATTATCAAATACAACTTCTGTTATTTCTACCTCATTATTTACTTCAAATGCGGGAGAAGCAATTCCAAAATACTTTATGTTCAAGTGTAATTTTTCGCATTATCTTCATATAACAGCTTGACAGATCTAAAAATAAAATATTTAATAAAGTGATGATTTTTGTAGTATTTTCAAGAGTATTTTTATGATTTCCTATTTTTTTTATTTTTATTACTTTTCTATGTTCCAAATTATTTCATAAATTACTAAACATATTTGTATTTTTATTATTTCAATTTAGCAATATTATCATAGATTAATTCATGTAAATACTAGACATGTGTAATACTTAATAGTTGTAACACAAAAAGTTTATGTGCATTTACAAAAAGTAGTTATTCATACAAAAAAATATATTTCTGCTAAATCTACATTTGTTCATAAACAACCAAGAGCCAAAGTCTAAAATGTTTTAACTCCTTTTATACAATAACAAATTTGCTATTTCTCAGTAATACATAATATTTATACTTTTAGTTTATAGAAATAATACAACAGCACAACTTTAAAAGTCGCTCTCTCGCTCAAATTAGAGATTGGCCCTTGTTGCTTCAAATTGCAGATATATTATCCCGGTTTCTAGTGTTATATTTCTAGTGTTAATATATAATATGAAAAATATTTTTTTATAAATATAAATGATGTCATCCTATAATATATCAACACGGTAAAGATAAAATGTTTAATTTTGAAATAAATTTTATTGTTCAATAACCCTAATGACCTGAGATAAATATGTTTTTACTATAAAGGTACCATTTCGGTAGGTGCGTCAGGAGACAGGAGACCACCGAGACGACCCAATGGACGACAGATGCATAAAAGTTACGCTCCGTACATTTCGGAAGCTTGGAAACGGGTCGCGAGACACTTACAGGATAACCATTCGAGGGAACGATCAGCGTTGTCAGACCTACTGTTTTTACGTAGATCCACTGTTTTTGTCTCTACCAAATGTTGTTCTTAATTTATTAAGTTTGCCTCATTCTTCAGCAAATGGTTAAAGAATATTTTTTCTAGTAAATTTTTTGCAGTAAAAGCAGCGTAATAAGGCATCCACTACTGTAGGTTGGCTTCATAAAAGAAAAAACATCAAGATAATCATTGTTTATATTTAAAATGAAAAACAAATAATTAATAGGGCAACAAAAAGAACATGCATATGCCAAACACTACGATTTTGAATTACCTGATTTAGACTGATCTAAAAGAAGTAGGTACCATTATTTTTCATTGTTTTTTTTTTTGTTTCCGTACGTTAAGTATATATTATAAATGTTATTATTTGTATTTATTCTTTGTTTACTTTCTAATTTGGGTAGAAAAAAGTTTATTTTTCGTTTCTTATATACTTGTTTTTTTATTTACTACACTGCAAATTTTAATTATTTCCCCCTGTATTAATATCTACTGTTCAGACCTACGGTTTTTTTTTTTTCACCCATACTTCTCCAAAATCTGGCAACACTGCCTACATCGAAAGAAATTTCCAACCTAATTACTTCCAAAAAGAAGCGATGCCGGAGGACAGTGACCTCGAGTGCCACACGTAGCAAACGCTTTGCCCCGAGACAGATTCAGAAGTGTCGTCTTGACGAAGTGTCGTCTTGACGACACTTCTCGTGTCGCGCCGTGCAAAATGTGTTTCATATAATTGTATGTATTTTAGACGTGAAGAGACACTTCTCGGTCGCGTCGGCGGTCGTCTGTCGCGCCTACCGAAATGGTACCTTCATATGAAACACATTTCGCACGGCGCGACACGAGAAGTGTCGTCAAGGCGACACTCGAGGTCGCTGTCCTCAGGCATCGCTTCTTTTTGAAAGTGATTAGGTTAGAAATTGTTTTCGATCTAGGCAGTGTTGCCAGATTTTGGAACAGTATGGATGAAAAAAAACCGTAGATCTGAACAGTAGATTTTAATACAGGGGGAAATCATTATAATTTGCAGTGTAGTAAATAAAAAAACAAGTATATAAGAAACGAAAAATATTTTTTTTACCCAAATTAGAAAGTAAACAAAGAATAAAAACAAATAATAACATTTTTAATATATACTTAACGTCAGGAAACAAAAAAAAAACGAATGAAAAATAATAGGTATTTCTTTCAGATCAGTCTGAATCAAATAATTCAAATACGTTGTGATTGACATGCATGTTCTTTTTATGTTGCCTTATTAATTCTTTGCTGCAGTTTAAATAAAAACAAACCTACAATAGTGGCTGCTTATTACGCTGCTTTTACTGCAGAAAATTTACCAGAGAAAATATTCTTTAATTATTTTCTGAAGAATGAGGCAAACTTAATAAATTAAGAACAACATTTGCTAGAGATAAAAACAGTGGATCTACGTAAAAACAGTAGGTCTGACAACGCTGATCGTTCCCTCGAATGGTTATCCTGAAAGTTTCTCGCGACCCGTCTCCAAGCTTCCGAAATGTACGGAGCGTAACATTTATGCATCTGTCGTCATTGGGACCGTCTCGGTGGTCTCCTGTCTCCTGACGCGCCTACCGAATTGGTACCTTAAGGTGAATTGCCCCATATAAACTGTACCTACTATTAAAACAAATTAATAATAAAGTGTTGCATACCTTTTTATCTTAACATTCTTAACTTCGGCACTTATAAACTAAGTATTGTTAAAAAATACAGTAGTCATATCATGGTTTACAATGGGACGGTAACAACGAATGTTCGGCTAGGTGATGTCAATTTTCAAGTGTCACTAAGATGTACATTCACTTTGACATTCTGTCTTGGTTTTGTTCGTTGACTTAGTTCTGTATAACAAAGAAAACCACGACACAAGCTGATTGGTCTATTCCCGATGACGTACACATTTCAAATTTTAAATTATAAATGGTTTTACTCTAAAAACTTTTGGCTTTTTAACAAACTGATTATTTAAAATAACTTGTACAATATAATTTATAAAACAGCATATCTCACATATGAACATGGCCCATTCAAATTTGCTTGATGACTCCGAACTTACAAATGCTAAAATAAATGGAAAAACACGCATTTTAAATTACTTCGAGCCGCCACTGATGACACTGTAAAATCTAAAGCGCTCCACCTAATTTCAATACAATTTTAATTTTTACTTATTGATGTATAACTCTTCAATCTTATTAGCTAAATATTGTTTTTAACTGTATTTTAAATAAAGTTTTAAATTGCAGATTATATGTTAAACTTAAATAATTATAGTACATTTTAATTAAATTTTAATTCAGAGCTTATGTAACTATTTAATACCAATACGATTACTTAGATAAAAGATCTGAAGAGGTAGCTGTAGACGAGGTCAAGGGTCCAACTCATCTAAATATTTAATGAAGGCAATTAAATAAACAAATAAAACACCAATTCTTGAATAATGTTATATTATACGTTTTAATTAAACAATCTTACAACTGTATAAGTAATGTTAGTGGGGAGGGTGCCTTTAGTAACGTTCATTAAAATGAAATATTGTGTGGAAGGATTAAAGAATTCAGTACATCCTTCAGCCACTTTCCATCCATCGGCAGTTGGATAGGCGTCATTGTATAAAGTAGCTAATGCTGCTAATTGTTTCTTGCTTTCATTTGGGTACAATAATATGGATTGATAATAGGCTTGTACGGCAGCAAGTTCATATTCAACATTTGGAACATTACTATCAATGATTACCTAAAAAAAAATAGTGAAATATTGTAAATCTATTTAATTTAATTTTTTCAATATTTTCGTTATGTTACAATAGGTGTGATTAACATTCCTTATGTTTAGCCTTTATTATTGAAATTGATTATAAAACAAAACAAATGGAAGGGCCGGAAACGGTAAAATAAAACAAGGCTCAGGATACTTCAGAACCTTAGACCTAAACATAAAATTGGCTGTGAGCAATAGTGTCAATGTAGTTCAAACCGGGCTCAGGGAGATTCTCATTCTCATAGCAGCAAAAGAAGTTACCAAAAACAATATCACTGAATGAAACATGCTCATCCATACAGATAGCAGACAAATACTACTCATTTTGGTCAGACCACGTATTTACTCAGGGTTAGAAATAGAATGTCACGAAGCTTTGGTGGAAGAATCCATCAACAATGTGATCACCTTAAAATGGATCAACGGTCACGCCACGTCGAAATTTAACCGTCTTGCTGATGAACTAGCCAAGAAAGCAGCCAATCAAATACTTTTTAAACCTTGCCCTTCCATTGGACTGACAACATTGGCTGCTGAGTTGCCAGGGAACTTTTCAGTTATCCCGTCTAAACTACAGCAAAATAATATTTGCATATGACTAGACAGAATCTGGGCCTGATTTTCTGACAGGTTATTTCCAAGTACGAAAGCATCTACATATCATGGTGCTATCAGAATCCGCACTCCGTAAGGGGTGGAAACAACCAGAAGTCGCAAGAAGCCAGGTCTGTAGAGTAGACAGGTTGACGAACGGATGTAATTCCATGTTTGACTAATAAAGTGTTGATCAATTGGGATGAATGTGCAGGGGAGTTGTCATGATGCAAGTGCCAGTTGTTCGCCGTCCACATATCTGGTCTTTTGCCCTGAACTGCGTCACGGAGTCGCCGGAGAACATCTTACTCCTTTGTCACTGTTTGTCCTTCCGGTGCGTATTAGTGATCCATTTCACGGACATCAAAGAAAACACTTAGCATCACTTTGATTTTGCTTCGCACCTGGCGCGCTTTCTTCGGCCTTGGAGAATCGGGATGCTTCCATTGCGACGACTGTCTTTTTGTTTCTGGGTCGTACCCGTACTCCCATGACTCGCCTCCAGTTATCACGGTGTTCAGAAACCCAGGATCAGTGTTGGTGGTGTTCAGAAGGTCTTGTGCAATGTCAAAACGAAGATCTTTTTTTTCCGGCGACAACAACTGTGGTACGAATTTCGCAGCAACCTGGTTCATGTTCAAATCTTCACGCAAAATAGCATGTGCAGAATCTTTACTCACTCCAACCTCTTCTGCAATCTCCTGTACCGTCAAACGACGATCTACCATTATTAAATTTTGCACCCTCTCAACATTAGTAGCACTCCGAGCAGTTTCAGGCCTGTCACAACGTTGCTCACTCTCTGCTGATGTGCGGCCATCTTTAAATCGGTTGAACCACTCCTTAATATATGTTACATCCATCGCACCTTCTCCAAACACCTGCTGAATCTTACGAATTGTTTGGCTTTGAGAATTACCAAGCTTTTGACAGAATTTGATGTAGTATCTTTGCTCAATTCGTTCAGTCATCTTGCGAGAAAACTAAATCTGACGAACACTAAGAACAGCACCTTGCTTGGTGACCACCAGCCAGCGACTTGCACAAGCGAACGCAGTGAAAAAATTCAAGCATGCGCATTAAGATTCCTCCTTCCACCATGCACAGTGGCGCCGCCTTAGAATCACTACTTTGCGCGGGAAAAATTAAGGTCGGATACTTTTTAGACAGGCCTCGTATTCTTGGCTTAAAAATGTGCACACAAAAAAGTTACATCCCTTGGAAAGTACAAAATGAAAATCGATTTTTTCCAATATTTCATGATCTGTTTAACATTTTGTAATGAAAATGGATACATGAGTTTCTTATCGTAATAGCATCTTTTTCATATAAAACCACGAAATCTGTACAGCCCATAAAAATTTTAGGTGGGTTTTGAACTCCTTAAACCCCCCAAACTTTTATATGCGTAACAAATAAATTAGTATTGTAACACTATTGGTTTAATACATCACTTTAAATGTTTTGCCTTTTAGCACTTTTTAGAAAAGCCCCAGTTTTTATCGAGATGATACCTATTTTTCATTATCTTTCAAAACAAAAAGTTATAACTGAGTATTCATGTTATTCTCAGGTATAAAAAATATGTACAAATGTGTAGTATTTACTATGATAAATGTTCAAAATGGCCTCCATTTTTCTAAATACACAATCGGCACCGTTTTAAAAAGGAAAACCAATTTTTTTGGAAGATCATTGGTTTCTGACGAAATCAATTTGCACTTTCAATGATTCAATACATCAGTTAGTGTTCGTCGATTATTTCAACAGAGAAGACATCCTCTTTCATATAAACTCGGAAGCAAAAGTCAATAGGGTAAAGATCTGGACTTCTGGCTGGCCAAGAAATAGGTGCATCAGGGTTCCATCCAGAGATAACCAGGAGATGTAACTACTAACAAATATCGTGCGGCCGTGAATAAGACATATTCTAAGGGACACAGTAGGACATAATATCCGCTGTTGTCATTGTTAGTAAAGTGTATGTATTAAAATATTCGCTCAAGAAAACGATTCACTTCCCACTCTTTTGTCACAAGGCTGAATTTTTCACAGATGAAAGGTCATGATAAGGTAACCCTTATTCCGGAGTTAATACAAAATTAGAGTTTGCAGAAGGGCATTATCATCAAAAATCCAGATATTGATACCACCGAATAGAGAAAAAAATACTCATTTTTTGATCAAATGCACAATAAAATCTTTGTAGGGAGTAATTGTTCATACTTATTTAAAAAAAATCATTTACATTAGCACTTACGGCCGAAAAAAAATATAAACGTAAATATCTTGGTTTTAGCCCTTCAAAAATTTAGTTAAAAAGTCGTCTTTTTTAAATATACCACTCATTTAACAAAAAACGAAGGCCTAAATGAACAAAAAACATTCCTTATAAAATTTTTGCTTATGTGTTGACAAGGTAACAGAGTAAACACCATATTTTTTGCTTTTGAATTAACAAAGATATAACAATAAACGATGAGAGATGTCATAGGTTTATGCTGTTATTAATTCTCACCGCCAAATTTATCGACTCTCAGTGTATCTTTCTCTTCACCTTCAAACGTAGCATAGCTCTGTTTCTCTCTACGTGCCGGCTGATGTATCACATTATTGATATGGTAGGATTTTTAATTTTTTTTTATTATAAAACTTCTCGTTATGTTCCATTGGGCAATGTGTTATATTGTTATCTGTTTTTACTAAAGAATTAATAAGTGTATGTGTTATATATTAAATTACCTAATAAATTGGGAAAAAATATAGACATTTTTGCATCTTTATTATATCTACATTCATCCTGTTGCAGCTGAATATATTTGGGTAAGTTATAAGTTTTCGTTTAAAATTTTAATTACGGATTTGTTGCTGCAAGTAGCAAAGACAAAAATGATATCAAAATAGGAAAGCCCAAAAGTTGCATATCATTTAAACATATATTTGTAAACATTATTTTTAGAAATAAATTTAATGTTCAAATGATAGATGTGGTATTTGATCATTATAAAGGACATTCTATCAAAAATACAACACGTCAAAAGAGAGGATTTCAGAAATCAATTGATATAGAAATTGACCGACCCAATATTTCAATTCCGCAATAATAGAACTTGTTTATTCATTCGATATTTAACAAAAGACGTTTAACACATTTTTTGCTAGAGCAACTTCTTCAAAACTCGCGAAAATCAATAAATATGGAAAGAATTTTGAACCATCAAAAGACGATTTTTTAAATTGAAATCACGAAGACACTAATAATCGTATCTTATTGCACATCCAAAAATTCGGGGCATTCACGCTGCATTATTTATTGTAACGATACAGATGTCTTATTAATTTATTTTAAGAAGTTTTTGACTAAAGATTTATGGTTCAGAACAGGGCGAGGAGACTCAAGACGATTTCTAGCAGTACATTATTTAAATTTGGATGAAAACCTTCAAAAAAATGTGCCTGCTTTTCATTCTCTGACCGGTTGTAATACAACCAGCTAATTGTCCGGCATTGGGAAAAGAACCTGTTGGAAAACCTACCTTGAACACCATTACTTTTTGGATGGATTTGGCATTGATCAGTACTCTGAAAACATATTCTCTAATCTTGAAAGAATTTTCATAAAAATTTATTTAAAACTGCCAATGTTACTTCCATTAACATTTTGAGGGGATTATTGGCCTCTTCAAAAACCATCGCTAAATTGCCACCGACTGAAGATGCCCTAAGACTACACTGTTTAAGATGTAAATTTGCAAATGCAGAAAAAAAATATTTGCTGTATCGGTACCTGCACCTGTATGGCACAGCCGCTAATGTTTTGGAAAATGTTGATTCGTGTGGTGAATCTGATTCTCTGATTAGTTTGAAAGTCGTGTAATTTTAAATTTTAATATTATTGATTTATGCTTTATATACTTCCTTCCATTTATTATTATTATAATTTATTTATATTGGGGATTTATTGTATTTTGCAAAGCAATAGCCTTACTGTTTATAATTGATACTTCAATAAATACCTTCAATAAATAGTTTATATTTTCTTATTTTTCATTTTCCGCCAAAAATAAAAAAAAATCTTGAAATAATTAATACACCCTATTATTCATAGTGGATAAATCAATAATCCCTGTATAAAATATTATAAGAAAGTCAAACTGATTGCATTCATTTCAATACTGAGATAGATGCATAAAGAGTCGAGAGGCTCTGTCTTTAATGTTTGCTTTCTAGTAAAACCATGACATCACTAATTGTTTATTGCTATATTTTTGTTAATTTAAAAGCAAAAAATATGACGAAAGTAATTTTACCTTGTCAATACATAGGCGAAACTTTTATAAAGAATAGTTTTTTTTCATTTATGCCTTCGTTTTTCGTCAAAT